ACTGGATTACTTCTCTTGATGATGGAATCCATTCAAAGGCAAACATGCCCTAACTCACAGGTGCCAATGGAATATAGGAAAAAACATCCTGCAAGTCTAAACTGGTATACATTTGATGTTCAGGGGGCAGAAAGCCGAGTAGGATGTAGGGATTTGGGACAATGGGATGAACGGTCACCCTCTTATTCACCTCACTTAGATTGTGGACAGCACTGGGACTTGCAAAAACGGGGTATTCCAGACCAATTTTCAGGAAGTAGGGATGCGCACTTCCAGCAACTGTTGAATGTAAGGTGTAATCCCTTGCTGGGCTGCTTGACTCATGGGATATTGTTTTAACCAGATAGGAGTTGCTATAGTGAGCAGGCTTACTACCACTGGGGGCTGGTGAATTGCCAAACCAGGAGGATTCAGTTCAGCCTGAACCCCTGGGAATTCAGTGATCAAAGAGTCCAATAGTGGGCTTGTGGTGGGAGTTACTGTTTCATGAAGCACATATTCTCTGGTCAGGGGAACATTTATAACCAATTGGAGAGCAGTGTTCCCCCCTTATTTGCTGTACAGCAGCCGTTCTCAACCTGTGGCTTGCGACATCTTTGGGGGTTGAAGTACCATTTCACAGGGGTCACCCGATTCATAACAGTAGCAAAATTACAGCGATGAATAATGAAAATAATTTTATGGTTGGGGGGGTCACCACAATATGAGGAACTGTATTAAAGGGTCACGGCATTAGGAAGGTTGAGAACCACTGCTCTACAGGATGGAGGGAGATGGTGGCCCCCAAATTATGCAACAAGTCTCATCCCAAGAAGGGGTACGGGCAATCAGGTAACACCAAAAATGAATGACTCACTTGTTGCCCAAATCCACAAATCATAAGTTTCTGAGAAACCCCCTCTAATCCCATAATTAGAGCCTGGTGAAAGGCTTCCAGGGCTTAGAACCCTGCCATTGTGTTGGGATCCCAATCAGGCTTTGTGGGAGGGAAAATTCTTTCTATTCTATCTTGGTCTTCCTTGTCTTCTCCACTCCCCCTCAATGCTTTCCAGGCCTCTTCCTTCATTCTTTCCCTTTTTTCTCCCATGGAGTTAATAAAAGCTGTTGACAATTGTCCCAGGTGGGGCAGTGAGTGCAGAGCAGATTCTAAAAGGGAATGAGTGCCTGCAGTTTCTCTGAAAAAGGGGGATTCTGGGCCTCCAAATTGTATAAATCTGAAGTGGAGAAAGGCACATGAGGGTACCACAGAAGGTCACAGGAATGAGAAGAAAATTCTCAAATCGTCTTGATGACAGGCTCCTGTAGTTCCTCCCAAGTGGCGTGTGGCAGAGGGGAAGCCTCCAGAAGGAGACCAGTCAAGCAGTTGCCCGTTCGTGACCTTCATGGGTACTTGGGTGCACTTTGACTCAGGTGTCGCTGTATAAACCCAGCCCGGTCCACTTTCCAAGGACAGGGAATCACTGTTGGGCTATACCAGGCCGCCGCAGAATGTAGTTGGGACCCAGTCAGACTTCATCGCCGCACACACCGGTTACAGAGGTCGACAGCAGGTTACCCTCATTCACACACTCACATTCTCTCACACCGAGTCCAAACCTTCCCTCCCAGGAATAAACGTCACCCAAAGCCAAGTAGAGGGAGAAAGCACCCTCACTCACCAAACAGCAAGGGTTGCAATGGGGAGAGCTTTTGACCAAAGAGCACAGGGTCTGTGCGTTGGGTGCTGCGGTGGGGCCCAGGGGTGCCTCCCCTTGTAGGTGCCCAACACTGGGAGCCCACGGGGAGGTTGCTGGTGGGCCTTACCCAGGACAAGCCCCCAAATGTTATGTCTGGATCTCAGGAGGAATCAGGGCTACATCGAAAAGGATCAACTGAAAAACTTGACTGCAGCCGGGCGTTCAAAATCTCTTGGCCCCGAGCGCTATCCAACTTGTTTCCCAAGCAATAAACCGTGAGTAGTGGGGTGACTTGTCACATCAGGTCACAACTGCACATGCTGACGAGGGGGGTGAACAGCTTGGGGACTTCCCACCAGCATTTATTAAGGGCGAGGGCAGCAGCCCGCCAACATTTTGAATGCAGCGGCTCTGGGTGGGTAAAGGAACGCGGGAACAGCAGACTTAGGCAATGGAAAGATACAGAAGTGAGTCAGGTTAGCAAGTGAGCCTCTCTGTACTTCATTTCATGACATCATTAGACACAGTGCTCGGCCCTAGATGAGAAAACCCCAAACCAATTCCTGTCTGGGAAGATCTGTGTGTTGAGGAAAACATAGGTCCCTTCCTGAGAGATGAACATTTGAATTGGTTTCGGCGGATTGATACATGGGAAATTACCGGGTAGAGAAAGAGAAGCACAAGGAGGACACTTGAAGCAGAAGAAATGGTGGTGCTGAGGCCTGTGTAAAAGTATTTGACGGCTGTTCCTTGCTGGGCCGATAACACAAGCGTTTCTAGTCAAAAGAACACTGAATTAGTGAAACCGCTTCACTACTACAAGTTAATATATATGCAAATTTATTTTTGAAATATGAAGTACCATCATCAACAGCTAGGGAAGTGTACATCCCAGATAACTGAAGCTTACAACGCTAATAGAATATTAGATGCTGAGTTAGAGTAAATGATGGCTTCCAACGGTGTCAACTTCTCTGAAGAATTAGGTTTTCACAAAACCAGTTACATGTTGAACGCTTTCACCTGAAAGGCCATTGAGGGAACGGAAATGGGATGTGGCCTTTGTGAGAATCATTTCTGAGTTACGTTATTCCTCACCTTCACCGACCTGGAGTCACAAAGATGAGGCATGGGGGCAGGTGAAGGCTGGCTTGCTGGTCACATAGTTTGAAACTGCATTTGTATTTGATTCTAACTCTGGCCTGGGGTGGGGTGGGTGCGTCAGCAGTTGGCACAGTGGAGGGGTGAATGTTGTGAATTTGAGCAGACCTTCTTACCAGTGGTCACGGGGCGGATATAGGGGTGCGCATGCTTCCATCTGTTGTCCACAAGGTTGAAGTTGAAGGTGGCTCGAAGGCAGCTGTCTACCAGAGTCACCAATACTAGGCGTGATACAAAGCTGTCCTTTTTGCTAGCACGTGACAAATACCAGGGGGGAGTATTCCTACAACATTGGATTCTCTGGCGGTAGATTTGAGCTAGGAGAAATCAGATTAATTCTGTGTGGTTAATTTAAAAGCGAAGACTCATAGTGGGATTTGGTTTTGAGGTAACGGGGCATTTGCTAGCCTTAGAATCAGCAAACTTTACAGACATCACAAGTCTGGGAAGTGCTGTGCAGTAACTTGTGATTAGGTAAGCATCAGGATCAGTTGGAAGCTCAATATTCTCACTCAGTGGAAATTAACTTAATCACATCATTCTCTACCCTCTAAGTGACCATATAATTCTAAAGCAGTAAACTAGTCTTAAGGAGCCCTGGTAGTGTAGTGGTGATGCAGTGGGCTGCTAACCTCAAGGTCAGTAGTTTGAAACTATCAGGGGGTAGTTCTACCCTGTTCTATAGGGTCACGAGGAGTCAGAATTTACTGGTTGGCAGGGAGTTGAAGTTTTAGAACTCAGTTTTGGAAACCAACGGAAAGATCTGACATGTTCATGAGAAGCTGGTTGGCTACGCTTCAACTGTTAATGGTTTTACTACAAAGGACACACACAAAAAGCCCAGGAAGACAACGTTTCTAAGGAAATAAACTTTTATTGCTATTTTTTAAAGCTTAATCTTTTTCTACAAGAAAAAATAAATCAATTTACATGTAGTAAAGAAGAGAGCAATACATAATATAGCCATTAGGGAAAGGCAGCAGAGCGAACTAGGAAAACAAAAGCAGTAAGCAGCAATATTAATACCTACATAAAATTAGCAGTGCAATGGATAAGCAGAAAGCAGCTTTACATCGAAAAACAAAAGTTAATTATTTAAATACAGAAATAGCACCGTCCAAAAAGGAATTGAGAAATGTAAACTTGGTAGGTAGATTCAAGTATAAAATTATACCCCCAACTCTTGTACCTGTTAAGGGTTTCACAAACCCTAGACCGTGTAGGGCACACACACCTTCCTCAGTGGTGAATCAAAAGCTGCATTTCCTTAGCGAGGTCGTCAACCATTTCTTTGCTCAGTTCCACAATGATAGCGTCAGAGTGCCACTGCGTCTTCTCTACCAGCACACCCACATCTAGTCCAGCAGCTTCGCTACTGTCAGTTGCTCCACAAGTTAGATTCATTTTCTGAAAGTTAACAGCTGCGTTGTCGCTATTATTTACATTTCACAAAGCCACATTAATAAGTAGGTACTGAATACCAAAGTATAATTTCTTCTTTCGTCTCCTTTTGCTAGCTATTGGCTATTTGGTCACAAAAGTCAAAATATTCTCACATATGGGATTTTTTCTTAATACTCCTCAAGAACCATGAATCTCTGAGGTAAATGTGGCTATATCACGAACAGAGTTGTTTTTTTTTCAAGTAAATGCAAATAATTAAAAACTTATGTGGGAAGCACCCAGGAGTAGCGGGGAGAAGGAAAATCAGTTGTGTTCTCATACAAAATAAAGCCCTCAGTGAAAATGTTTGCTGGAGGATGTATTTAAAATGCATGTGCCTTGTGCAGATTTTTATGCTCCTATTGTGTAGTCTAATCTACCTGAGAACAGGCATATTTTTCTTTGTTTTATGGAGGGACTTATTGGTATGTTAGGCTAACCTTAACTATGCAATTACTGATAATAAAAAACATATTTTTACCTAACTCCAGAGAAAATGGAAAAAAGGAGATGGGTGAGGAGAGACCATCCTCTAATAATTGACAATGTAGTGTTGGTAAAATTTTTATATAAGTGGCTACCTCCCTAATGTTTTAAAAAAACTTGTTGGGGTAATAAGGCTAGTATCCTGCAGTTAAAATAAAGCTACTTTCCTCAGACTCCCGGAGTCTCTTAACTTACTGTATATACTTGAGTATAAGCCGACCCGAATATCAGCCAAGGCACCTAATTTTATCACAAAGAGCATAAAAAATGTGCTGAAAAAACTTGGCTTATACACGAGTATATATGATCGTATTCTTAAGATTTTGGGTTCCAAAAGAAAATAAAACCCTACACCACGATTCCAAATCTAGGATAGAAATTTTTAAAGGAAGAAAGCAGGGAGGGAGAGAAAAAGGATAGAAGGATGGGAAGAACAAAGAAAGCAAGTCACTTACTCTGAGATGACAGTATGAGGTAAATATCAATAAAGGTAGGAAATAGAAGAAGCTACCTTGGCTACTTCCTGCAATGCTAGTCATGTGCTCTAACACAGACACTGCATCCTAGCTTCTGGAATGGTATTTGTGCTAGGACACCAAACCGCTGTACTCATTATCCTTGCTTTTCAGAAGTTCCATAGGACTCCGGTGTGAGAACTGGATACTGACCAGACCGTGATTTCCCCTCTCACCCTTCCAGAGGTGAGGGAAAGAGAATGAGCAACCAAAGAATGGCACATTGTCCTGCGTCAATTCCATCCTGCTACTCTTCTTCAGAATCCTACCAAAAGTTCCACCCAGATCCTGATTCCCCACGTATTGTATACCATCCTGATTTAGCTTATGAACAGTAATTGTTAGAAGGTATCCATACCTGCCTACTCTAAAGTTAACATTTAAATTAAAAATTACATCATCATCATCATCATCATCATGCAGGGGTACGTAGTGAAGGAAACTGTGACCACCGGAGCGTGTTCACCGTGAAGAATCAAAGCTCCCGGTTCACGGCGAGCCCAGCAGCAGCACCCGGGCTGCGTGAGTTTATCCCAGTTCTCCAGTCCAGAGAGGTGAGCACAGTTCATCCACAGCAAAGCGTGTCCTTCTTCACAGTGATTTTGGTCTTGACATTTGGCCACATATATATATATATTTATCCACATTATTATTAGGATGTAGAGTAAGTGCAGGGAAAACTTCAGGAAACAATCTTAAGTATAAACATTCAAGTCGTCATACCCTGAAAAGAATTCTGTTTTGCTGTAGGTGTAAACTTTTTTTTTGCACTAAATCCCATTTCAGGAAAGACAAATAAATACCAGAGGACTCACAACTGCAGCTGGCCTCCCTGCTGAAGTCTAAGGAAGCAGTTGCGGCTTCAAACTGCAGCAAGGAAGTTGCTTTTTCTTCCTTTCCACCACAGATTTACTCAGGGCAAGTGTCAAGAATGCTGAGCCTCGTTAAGTGCTAGACAGCCCCCTGCCACCCCCACCCTTAGTAAAACCACAAGCTCCAGCAGCCTGTTCAGATCTACGCGGAGCAGTCAGCTGCTTCTGGAACCCAAGCCACACGACAGTCAAGCCTTTCACTGGGACTCCAGGCAGAGTCCGAACTCAAACTACTTAGAATTAGATGCGCGATTAAGTACAATTACTCTCAGGAAAATAGATGATTCGTGATGATGAGGCATGAACAGAACCAGTGAATGAAAAAGAGAGGAAGGAGGAGCATGCTGATGACCGATGGTCTGAGGGTGGTTTCTGGTCACCCTTAGAGTAACACTTGCAACACAGCGACAACGTTCGAGGTGGTCCAGTCCCGTCCCACCTGGTCGTGTCAGGTTAGTCAGCGCCCCCGCTGGGAATCTCCAGTCTTCTCTGGGCTGAGCTGGTATTCCGAGACGGAGTTCTTTCTCTTCTCTTAGTAACAGGGTCTCCGAGGCTGCCGGGTGTCTTGAAGAATATCTCACGATGTGTGTGCTGCATGCTCTTGGGAGTCATGGGGGCTGGTGACTAACAGAGAGAGTAATCGTGTCAGAAAATCAGGCCCACCAGAAGCAGAGCCAGTTGTTCTCAACTGGAAAAAGGGCTTTTTCTTGACTTGTGCCATCCCAATGCTTATGTGGGTCCTCTCACCTCTTTCCTTTTCCAGCAAGAGAAAAGACCTGGCAGCCTGCGGAGCCCTAGGAGGCAGCCAGTCCCCCTTTGTCCCATAGGGCCCCGAGAGTCAAAGTGGCCTCCACAGCCAGGGGTGTAATTCATGGCTCACACGCATTCCGCTTTCTTCCTACACGCTTAGCACACTTGGAAACGAACTTATTTTGTGTGCAGAAAGGCAGCTTAGCATAGAGATTATAGGCCCAGCTGCTACCTATCTGATCTTCAATTTCTTCAACTTTAAATGGAGCTGGTAAATGAACCAATTTCGCAGCATTTTAAAAGTTAAGCGAGATGGTATTTGCAAAGCATTTTAGAGCATGCCAAGCAAATAATGTTTCCATTCCCTCTGTTTCTTTATTTGGTATTTATGCTCTCATTAATGTACCCTGAAAGGGCAGAGATCTTCTGCTTCCTGTCAGACTCTTATTGCCTGAATCAGTGCTTGGCAGATAAGTAGGGTTAAGAAAAGTAAATGTTGTTATCATCATCTTGTTTAAAAACTAACATATTTATTTCTTTGTTCAGCAAACTCCTGGCTTCTGAATTACTTGTTTCAAATATTTTTGGCTACCATTTAATTCTTTATTCTCTTTGAGAAAATAATTATTATGCAAAATGCCTAATTCCTAACAGGAATTCAACAACTATTTATCGATGGAATCATAAATGGAGTTTGGGGGAGCAAATGCAAAAAAGCTTTAAAGTTTGTGGAAAAATTCCATTGTCATTTCATTCCATTTTTCCATGAACATTTTTGGGGTGAACTTTTAATACTAATACATTTATACTGATTATATATACATCTTTATGTCTTATGTAATTATAGATGTTCATTACTTCATATTAAACACCATATTTTTAAAAGAAATTACTGATTTGAACTTATTTGAGTTTGAAGACTTATTTTCCTTGGTTTTATTGTGTGATTAAAATTTATGGTGGTCTGATATAATGAAATGGAAGCATAGGGAAACTTCTGAATACTTAGCATCCATTAAAAATTCACCTGAGCCATACCTAAATTTTAAAAAAAGAAAAAAAGTTGGATTTAGACTTTTAGAGATCCTATATGTCAGTGGTTCTAAACCTTCCTAATGCCGCGACCCTTTAATACAGTTCCTCATGTTGTGATGACCCCCAGCCATAAAATTATTTTCGTTGCTACTTCATCACTGTAATTTTGCTACTGTTATGAATCAGGCGACCCCTGTGAAAGGGTTGCTTGACCCCCCCAAAGAGGTCACGACCCACAGGTTTCCAAGGCAGTAAATCTTTATGGGAGGATCGCCTCATCTTTCTCCTGCAAATTGTGAGGAACGACAATGAAAGGGCAGCATGTCTGCCTATGTCTCAATGCTTCGCCAGATAAGCAGGCAACAGGGGGGTCTATAATGGAACAGGCTGACCTCCTCAAACACAGGTGCACCCATCACAGGGCAGTGGCGTCACACCTTGTACCAAACGGAAATGCACGTTGAGGGCTCACCTGCTGTGACTTCACTGCTGAGGCGAGATGCCCCATGTACACCGGTGACTCCGGCTGGGCAGCTGAGCAGGACTGGGGTGCCTCTGGGCTGTGGTTCAGTGAGAGCTGGCCCTGAAGGGGAGGATCTGTGGAGGGCAGTATTGATGACTTCGGATTAAGCATGGTTGCAGGGCCGATGAGAAGATGGGCTGTTGATCCAAAGCCAGGCAAGCCAAAATTCACATGCCCTGGGTTGGGAAGCGTGCCAGGAGCTGAAGAACCTGGCCCAGGTATGGTGGGAGAATAAAGGACTGGAAAGGGGCCTAGGGCTGGCGATGGTAAGACCATGCAAGGAAGGTTGAGGGGCGGCAGCTGGTTTGAAGACGGCCCCACGGTATGAGGGGTCTGACTGCCCGGTAAGAGCACATTGAAACCATTTAATCCTGAAACAGAAGCAAAATGAGATGAAAATCACAACATGAAAACACTCGGTGAAACGGTTCACGACCACATCCCTCCCTACACCAGGAAAGCTCCTCCTGGTACGCGCCTTCGCCCCTCACCTTTTCAGAGCACGTGGTCATAACACAGCAAACATTTGGTCAGTGTCTGTGTCTGCTGGGAAGGCTGCTTCCAAACAAAATGTTTACTCTAGTGAAATATATGAGGGGCAAATTCCATATCCTTTCATTTCAATTACCGTGAACGGTCGGAAGTCCCTTCGTATATAACAAAGCATTTGCCGCGCCACCCATTTTTACGGATACAATTCAGTAACGTTGTGTTCCACCGTTCTGTGCAATCCTCACATTTCCAATGTCTTCATCACCCCCCGAAGAGCCACTTTACCACCTTCCCCTCCTACCTGTCCTTGGCAATAACGGGAAAACTCCAGTTTCTGTGTGTCTGCCTGGTCCCGGTATTTCATAGAAGTAGGACCACACAGTATCTGTTCTCTGGTGTCTGATTTATTTCACTCAGCATAATGTTCTGGAGTTTTGTCCACGTGGTAACATGCATTGAAATTTCTATGGCCTTAAAAAAAACGGAGCCCTGGTGGCACAGTGGCTAGGCGTTGGGCTGCCAACTGCAAGGTCAACAGTTCTAGACTACCAGCTGCTCCGTGGGAGAAAGATGGGGCTTTTTATGCCGTGAAGAGTTAGTCTTGGAAACTCATAGGGCCAGTTCTACCCTATCCTTTAGGGTCGCTGTAAGTCAGCACCGATTTGATGGCAGTCAGTTTTTATGCCTGTCTGCCTGCACATTGTATTTATCCACTCGTTTGCTGCCCTTTTGTGAATAAGTGTAATAAGCACTGTTGTATAGGTAAGTATGTTTCACACTGCCAAGGCTCTGTGGGCGTTCCCCAGCTGAAACTGAGGGCAGTGAAGACAGTGGCAGACATGGGTACCTTTATTTTTACTCACGGAAACTTTGTCTTCCTCCAATGAGGACCGCAGGCTAGAAACCGCAGCAGTGTTAATAGTACCTGGCTTTCTCACAAGTAGAAAACACGGGATCTTTATATTAATGATAGGTCCCGCCAGCTTCTTAAGATACTGCTTAAGGTCATTATGCTCTTGAAATGACAGTATTTAGCAGTTCTGCCAGGTTGTTTTCCTATTCTAAGTACTTTAAAAATGACCTTATCACCGCATTTCAATTCCTCTGTACACCTAGGTATATAATTCTCTGCATTTGTTAACATTCGGAGGAAGAATTGACAGGGTTCGCCAGACTGCCTAGAGGTGCACAGCACAGAAGAAATGAAAAATCCTTGTGTTGGACTGTCATTCAACAAGGGTGAGCCTGCTTTTTGTTTACCAGTGTATCTCTAACACTGGGTATATCACACTTAGAGTAAATAGGCAAAAATAGTTGATAAAGGGAAAAAGCGTATTACCTAGATAAGCGACTCATAAGTATGTAACCTGGTCTGGCAAAGATGCTTCAGTCAAGGAGAAAATGGAGAAAATCACTATGTATGTTGGCGTCGAGAGCAGCATCCCGTATGCTTGGTGCACCTTGCCAAATAGGTGTCTAGTATAGTTTGGCTGTGATTCAAAACAGCTAACATGTATTGAGTACTTACTAAGTTCAAGGCAGAGTCTAAATGCTTTAGACATATTTATTGTCTTATTCACTAATTTAATTTTAAAGCAACCCTGTGGAGCAGTTGCTATTATACTCAATTTTGCCAATGAGAATGGATGAATAGCTTGAGCTAAATTGGTGTGGATAATAGGAGTAGGTGATTTTAAACCTCAAACCCCCCTTACTCCACAGCTGGTGCTTAAACCCAATGATGTACTCAGAACTTGATTCTCAAGAGGTCAGAACGCTGCCTGTAGACATGGCCAATAATTTCATGTCTTTCTAATGAATCCATGTCAGATTCTGCTGAGTGGTCAAATAAGTGTCATCTTTTATATTTGGTTTTACCATAGATAACAAAAGCACATTAAACCAAACCAAACAACCCACCAAAAACCAAAACACCCCATCCGCCCAATTATGTTCCATAAACGTTGGGCTACGATCCCCATGGTTGGCAGTTTGAAACCACCAGTAGCTCGCTGGGAGAAAGAGAGGGCTTTCTACTTCGGTCACAGTGACAGTCTGGGAAACCCACAGTGTTGGTAGGAGTCAGCGATGACAGGAAGTTTGGTTTTTGGTGACAGTAGGAGCAGTCTTCCCTTATATTTCACAGATGTAGAAAACCAGGGGACCATGAGAAAAATGACCCAGAGGCCACTAGTAGCCACACATAAATGACCTGGTTGGGTCTGGTGACAGATGGAAATGTGAAAATCTAATTTATGATCCCACTACCCCAGTAGACCCCGGGACTAGATGATGCCCCTTACCAGCTGGAGACGGGACATAAAGATACTGGAGCAACGGGGGCTCTTTGGTGCCTTGACGCTCTCTCGAAGGCTTTTTGAGCTCTGTGTTTCTGGAAGGATCGCACCACTCAGGAGAAACGATGAGGCAGTTTGCTACAACCTTTTCTGAAGCCTCCCTTGAAGCAGACTGTTGGCCATTCACGTGGATGTCTTCCAGGGGCACAGATCCTATGTTACCGCTGGTCTTGGGACAGGCACAGTCTGTGAGCTCGGAGGTTTTCTACAGGCACAACCAAACCAGAACCAGGACAGTAAGTGGAGACTCAGGCAGTACATCTGTCACAGCTTTCTCAAAACAGCTAGAGCGTCAACACAAAGTTAGAACACAGCCATGTGCCACACTGATTTATGTGTCTGGTTTTACTAATATTTATAGGCAGGACCTGAAAACAAATATCTGAAGGCTTGAGGTTCCTAAGTATGATGGAGATTTTAACAGTGGAAAACTGGCTATGCTGTTTAGATGGTGAAACACACTTTAAAAACACTGTGAATCTACATACATGTATTTTTTCCAACAATTTTTGTGTCTAATTCAGTGACATTAATGATGCTCATCATGTTGGACAACCACCATTGTTATCCCTTCCCACATTTCCCCACCACCCTTTGAGCAATGACATCTGCCCTTCTTTTCCTTCCCCTGCCACCTCCGGTCACCATTGAAAGACCCTGGTCTATAGCCATGCGCCTCCTGTAGATGTCTTATATAAGTAGGGAGACTATAAATGCATTTGTAGACTGGTAACTCATAAAGGATGCTGGTGCCAGTCTTTCAGGGGCCTTACAGGTGACACAATGGTTAAAGCAGCGCTCGGCTGCCTTCTAGAAGGTTGGTGGTTCAAAACCACTAGCCACTCTACTGGAGAAAACTAAGCCAAGTCCACCACCACGGAGCAGTTTCCAACTCCTTGCGACCCTATAGGGTTCCTGGAGTTGTACATTTTTATGTGAGCAGATAGCTTTTTTTCTCTCTCGGAGCGACTGGTGAGTTTGAACCATCTACCTTGTGGCTCTCTCTACAGGAGAAAGACCTGAGATGCACTTCTGTAAGTAAGAATGACCACGTAGGCAGCTCCACTGTGTTTAGAGGGTTGTTCTGAGTCGGAGCTGACTTGACAGCAGTGGATCTCAGATTGCATATTAAAACAAAGAAAAAGCTGTCGAGATATGCAAACAGGCTAATACTAGCCATTGCCTCTGTGTAATGGAATTATTGGGAAGTCCCTCCCCCTCATACTTTCCCTTCTTTACCCAAAGGGTGGTGCTTAAAAGAGTCATTGACTTTTCTTACAGAATGATTATGGAACCGAGTTTTGGGAAAACCAGTCGGGTGCTTAACTGTACAAGTGACAGGGGCACATTCCCACACTGCAGACTTGGTAGCTTACTGGACCTGTGTGTCTTCCTTAGGAAGATGCTTCTGGATCAATGGGAGGTCACCAGACACACCCGCCAGCACTCCCTCACCTTGGGCATGACAAGGGAAAGCGGGCCATCCTCGTACTCCAGACTGCGTCGTTTAATGCCTGGGTCTTCCTCCTCTTGAGGCTTCTTCTCCCTGACACGCTTCTGAGCTGAGGGTACAGACGATAGCTCTGATGCAGCCGAGCCGTCAGTGCTTCTGCTCGCCCTCTCTGAGCCGGAGCCGGGGGGCACACCCTCTGGAAGGCTCCCGTACAGCATGAATAGTGACGTGGAGGGCACGTACACCAAGGGCTGACCAGCAAGCACAGCTGGCTTCAGGTTCTCCACGTCAGAGGCTGCGGGAGTGGGGGGGACACCCATTTGTCCACTGTGACCATTCTGTGTAGAGAATGCCTGTGTATCCGTTTGAGGGACGGAACATGCTTGCTTTGCTAAGGAACTAGCAGAATATTCAGAGTCAACAGGAAGGACAGGGAAAGGAGGAGCAGGGTCCAGGTTGTTTGATGGCGAGACCACCGTCTTACTGGCAAAGGCTTTGCCCCTGTAATAAGAAGGAAAAATAAACGAGTACCACCAAGTTCCCACATTCTACCAACTCCCTGATCTTTGCTTTTCTAAAGAGAACCCTAACAAACCAGAGGGAGATGATGTTGTTCAGGCTAATCTTAAAATGCACTCTCTGAGCACGCAGGAGTTAACCCCAGAGGTGTGTGGCCAGGTGCCACCTGGATGGCTTTTTAGGGCTCCAGTGGGAAGGGATTTGGGGGAATCTCAGGTTAAAGCAAATACTGGCTGGTTGTTTATGGTGCACTTATCCCTTATGGGGCACTTAGATACTATCATTGGTTGTCCCCACCACTCATCTGCCAGTCTGTGGAACTGTGGTGGCTTTGTGTCCCTACAATACTGGAAGCTATGAGCCATGGGAACTGCAAATACCAACAGGCTCAGTCCTGGTGGGCAGATTTCACGGAGCTCCCTGGCTCAGACAGGCTGGGGATGTCTATCTGTATCTTAGAGGCAGACCACCACATCCATGGAAGTGTGACTGGAGGCACACTCATTAGAAAGGTGATTATCATCTGTGTCATGCTGTAGCTTCATCTTGTCTCAGTGGATAACTCACGCAGAAACCGAACTGCAACCACAGGCTTAGAGACTAGCGTTTGTAAGCATCACACATGGAAGCCTACGGCTAGACGGACTAGATGAAAGACTTCACTGCACCACAATGAGCTGATATACACACAATGTTTCGAAGGGTGCCTGATACTTAGTAAACCAAATGAGGCATGATGACAATGATGAAGGAATTCACGGGACCAGCTCACATCATTTCTCAGTGTCATGTTATCAGTGCATTGCTTTTTGGGGGGTTTCCACCCCTAAAAGCCGCCATATATTAGGACATCAATTTTTCATTTTGTGTGTACCTAAGGCTACCTATCAGTGTTGGGCACAAAGGGGAAACTTGCAAAAAACCAAACACAAATGGAAGACTAACGTATTAGCAAGACTGCTAAACATTCTGTTTTGCAGGGTAACAATTCCATCTAGTCCAAGTTAACACTAGGAAATAAAAATACTCTTGAGTTTTAAAAAACTACTTACTGACATTTTTCTTCAACTTGCTGCCTGTAGATAGCTGCCAGACTTCCGATTTCTAAGGAACAGCCCCCTAATCCTGAAGGGGAAATGGAGGTTGAATAAATATAGCTAGAAACGTATATATTCCTACGATAGACAGCAGAGTGAATCCACAGCGTAGGAGTCTAAGACAACCGGTAATCCTGCTCTGCTTTTGGTTCCAAGACACAGATTTTAAAGAGTAAGCTCTTGAGGGTGAATTCGGGTCTCATCAAAAAATTAGCAAGTGTATGGACGCGCACACTTACAAGCAAAGAAAGCAAAACAAATGTTGCTCTGTCAGTCTGACAACTTTCTGAAACTCTTACATGCCAACCAAGTATGGTGGACTGACTGATCTGTCAGGCTGACCAGCAGTCATTTCTGGCATGGAGTCACGTTCACAATACTCTGAGAACGCAGCATTTCCTCTGCCCCAATAATCTTATCACTGTAGGCAAGTGGAGAGCAGAGTCCGGAAACTAGAGATAAGGCCTCAGGGGTCAGCCCATTTAAACATGTCAGCACACGGGCAGAACTAGTCACCTCAATGCCATGGATTAGTCAGGAAGCATACCTTGTTCTCTGTAAGGGCTGCTGGGCTCTGAGTTGACTTTTCTCTTGATCCTGTCAGAAGCCTGAACTGTGTTAAAGGAACTGTGTCGAGCCAGCCTCTGCTTTGCACAAACTTGAATCTGGCCATATGGTTTTCTCTCCAATTCTGGTAAGACAGATGCAGAAACATCCACTAGTTGCTCATCTAAATAAACGAGAGGATTGGTAGTGTTGTTACAAAGCTATAATTCAGAATAATTATAGCCTTTCTGAGATATGACTTTATGAGCTTGTACCTGTAATGGCGTCACTCTATAAACCCAAACCTAATGAATTCTATGAGTCTTGTCTCAAACCCTACTTTAAAATGATGCACTGAAAAAAATTTAAATTAGCAAATGACTTGTGGTAGTTACACAATTTCATGTCAACATGATAAACAAGAATGAAGGGGTGGAATCTAGCCTGTCGATCAGGTCATGGTCTGATCCCTCTTTGTGGGGATGGCCTTTTCATGAGGATGCTGGGATCTCCCTCTCTGCTACACATTCTTGTTGACAAGCAA